TGTGGTGCTGAAACCCATTCCGACCAAGCCGGCCGTGCCCCCACCCATCTTCAATGTCTTTGGCTACCTCTAGCTGGGCTGAGAGGGCCTCAGCCCCCACCTCTGGCCTGCAGGAGTGTCAAGGTCCCCGAGGTGCTCTCCTGTGAGGAGGTGGCTGGGCCACAGTGTGGCCTCTTCCATTTGTGTGCGTATGGGAGTGGAGGGCAGGATTGGGGCGGGGCTCCTCAAGCAGTCACCCTTCAGTCTTGCAGCCTTGGAAGCTGGGGGGCTGGTTGGCCCCTCCCCAAGCAGGCCAGGGCCCAGCAGCTTGTCCCGCTGTCCCTGTGCAGACCATGGGTGCTAGGATGTTGCCCTTGCTTGCAGACACCCCGGAAGCCAGAGTGACACATCTGTTCACCTGCCACCCACTCTGCAAGCCAATCTCAGTTGTTGTTCTTCTTGTTCTTTGTAAATATTGAGAAAGTTAAAAGAATAAAGACATTTCTTTTGGAGTTTCCATATCTTGGGTATCATGAAGCTGAATGAGCCCCAGGCTGAGGGCTGCTGGCAGATGTGGTTGGTTTCAGTGAGGCCAGGAGTGGTTGAAACCTCTGAGATATCTGGGAATGGGCGCTGGGGGCCAAGAGCTTGGTTCAACGGAAGGAAGGTGAGGAGGGGAGGAGAGGAGCCACTAGGGAAAGACATGCTGGTGTGGACCCCCCAGGGCGTCCAACATGCTCCGGAGAATAGGCGCTGGAACCAGGGGAGGTAGGGCTGCAGTCCAGCGCCGCCCTGTGCTGTGGGGCCGGACACTTCCTCTGGGGGTCTCCTTGCCCCACCTGCAGGACAATGAGAGGAGAATGAGTCTCTCTGCAGTGCCTTCTGCTCTGTGCACAGCCTCAGGGCAGCCTCTGTGCCAAGGTGATTGTGCCCAACTCTGGTCAGAGGGAAAATCAGGCCAAACAGGAGTTTGGTCCCTTGTGGACAAAACAGGTGGTTTGACCAAATTGTTTCTCCAAATCATGGTCTTGGAGTCTATGTCCACGGGCAAAATAAATCAATTTTTAAAATAATAGCAAATTCCCCTAAACCTCGTTCTCTCTGGCACATACAAAAGGATCCTCTCTAGCGAATTCAGCTTCCGGGTTACCCGCCAATGGGCCTCTCCCTGGGCCTGTTACATACCAGGTGCCCCATCAATGGAATGCTGAGGGCTTTTGCCTGTGACAGTGCAGAGGGGAGTACCGGTAGCAGGAAGTGGCCCTGGATTTTGCTCTTAGTGTCCTACTAGCAAAGCTACCTGAGAGGCCTCCACCTGCACACAGGCCCAGGTTTTCTCTGCTGCTGTGGACGTGGCTCCATGGCTGAGAGAGGGTGGGCCTGCTGGCCTGCCGAGCTGCTTATTTTATCAGAACACAGTTTTCACAACTAAGAAGGGTGCGGCGGGCCAGTCCTGGCTGGGGACTATGGTGTTCTCATCAGTAGTGTGACGTTGGACAAGTTAATCCTCACTCTGTGCCTCAGTCTCCTCATCTGTACAACGGAGGACTAGGAAACAGGTACATCTACCTCTTCTGCACCCCAGGCAAGTGTTGGCTCGTCACAGGCTCCCTCCTTTGGAGCCCGGATATGGCCTCTGATTCTTTCTCACTAATACAGGCTGCAGAATCGGTGGTCACCAAGGGCCCCTCCTACTTGCCTTGTTTTACTCCAGGATTCCCCTGGCGTGGGGAGTCCCCTGGAGGGGCAGCCCCCTCACCAGGAAGCCAGCCAGTGGTTTCTGTCCAATGGCCTCTGAAGACTTCAGAGCCACAGAAACAGGAATGGCCTGGGCAGAGCTGTTCAGAGTCATTATCTGGCCCATGGGATGGGGACAGTCCTCAACCTGGACCCTTAGCCTCTGACTGCTCTGGTCTTAAAGAGCAGCAAGGGGCTGGGGGGTGGGGTACCCTCCTCTGCCCTCTGTGTGGCATCACACAGGCCCTCTGGATCCATGTCGATGAGCCTCAGCTCCCTGCAAACTGCATAAGAGGGGTTTAAATGCCTGCATCCTAGCCTGCCATCTATCAGCTGTGCAATCTTGGGCAAGTTACTTAACCTCTCTGTACTGAAATTTCCTCATTTGAAGAATGTGATTGATAATAGACCTGCTGTATAGGTTGTTGTGAGGCCAATATGAGTGCCTGGCCCACTGTGCTACCCAGATGCTCAAAAGCTCCACCAACCACAAGTCACCTCTTGTAGTTATCTGGTGGTGTCTGTAGGTTCTGTCATGCTGACATTTTAATACCGTTTATGGGCTGTGCTGCCCAGGGGATGATGTGCCTGGACCACACAACCAACCACATCCGCTAGAAGAGGACCTGAGCTCCAGTCTTAGACTAAGATATCTTAGTCTTTGGGGAGAAAGCTCAGGTCTCTCTGGTAAGACTGGCCTGTCCCTGCTCACAGCCCCCGGGGGTACCTGACGATTCATTCATTCAAACGTTTGGAAGCAGAAACCTCTACCAAGACATGGCCTGAGAGAAGCCCCTGGCAACATGATGCCTCCACGTGGAAGCGAGGTAGGCAGAAAGCATGCATTTAGGAAAGCTTTGGTATTAAAAAATCAGTTTTAAATGCTGCTGCAGTAACAACAGCAGATACTCCCCTAATCACAAAGTGAACGGCACTGGTTCAAAGTAAAACCCGGAGCCAGTCCAGGCACCCACCCCCCGCACCCCTTCGTCATCCCCGACACCCACCACTGGGTCAAGTTCACGAAGGGGAATCTCCGCCAGACTTTCAGGGCTGTGTCTGCAATGCTGTGAGACGTCCCTGAGGCGAGGCTGCAAACCTCTTGGGACTGGGCAGGTGCGGCTGCAGGAGGGCCTGCTTCTGCAGAGGGAGGTGGCTGTAAAGTGCTCCACACAGGAGCGATGGTCAAAATGCAAAACGAATGGCACAATGTGAGCACTGACCAACTGGAAGCAACCCACCGGAGCAGTCTGAGGCCAGGAATGAACCCCTTAGTTGCTGGGTTGTGGGGAGGTGGGGGCAGGGACCTAAGGAGGCATGGCGCTTGCAGGGAGGGGTCCCGAGCAGTGTTTGACTAAGTGGCATGGACGCTTGTACATTAATATTCTAAGAACCCAAATGTAGCACTGGTGCGTCCCAGGCCAGGAGGTGCCACATCCTGCAAATGGCGACTATAGAGAAAACAGTGGCCAAACCCCTCCCCTATACCTCCCACTCACCCCTTCAGCCCCATCTCCCCCAGGGTGGCACCTCCCTCAGACTGGCACACTGTCCTGCTCAGTGCCTGCGTCTCTGGGCTGGGAGATTTGTGGCTGCTGCCTTAGGACTCTCTAGGACATAATGTGGTCCACGAGATGCTGTAGGTTAAGAGTCTGCCCAATACCCATCTCAGTCCACACACACCAAACAACTCGCACACTGGCCCTGCATGCCTCATCCCATCACCACCTGCCACCCCTGGGGTCAGTTTGACCAGCCGTCACCCAAGATGCAAATGCTCTCCCTTTGGCTTCCGGGTCAGCAAAGGCGTTCTTCCATCGGATTCTCCCCTGGGAGCTGAACCCGCCTTGGCAACTTACCCTGGGCTCTTGGGTTTGAGCATCCCCAGTGGGGGAGCATGCGGGTTTCCTTTGGGGCTTCTTCAGGGTCCCTGCAGGTTCTGCCTGGTGAACAGCAAGGCCACATGGGACTGTGGCCAAGCACCGTTAAGCTGGAACCCCAGGGACTTGCTGTGTGTGCCCAGGCAAGTCCCTTCCCCTCTCTGGGCCAGTTTCTCGTTTGTATCATGAAGGAGTGGGCAAGACCAGGTTGAGCCCCCTTTGACCCGTGGCCAGAAAGTGCTGCTTGGAAGACGTTTTCTCTGGGAGTTACTGATTCCATAGAAGCCCAGTGTGTCTTTAGCCAGGCATGGTGGCATGCCCCTATAGTCCCAGCTACTTGGGAGGCTGAGGCGGGAGGATCACCTAAGCCCAGGAGGCGGAGGTTGCAATGAGCCGAGATCATGCCACTGCACAACAGCCTGGGCAGCAAAGTGAGACTCTGCCTCGAAAAAAAAAAAAAAAAGGAAAAGAAACCCAGTGTGTCAGAGCCAGCAAGGGGCCATCATGTTTCACCATACAGATGAGGAAACTGAGGCCCCAGAGATGCAAGCCAATGGCAGGCGGAGCCTGGAACCAGTGCTCCCCTCCATCACTCTAGCTGCTTAATTTCCAAAGGCCAGAAACTACCTTTGACCTTGCTTGAGACTCTACTAGATCCTGGGACTGGCCTGGTACAGGCTCTGGGCCAGGTGGCCTGCTCCAGTGTTGCTGCAGAGTAGCCTGGACTCGGTGGCTTCACTCACACTTGTAAAGGGAGTGCCAATGAGTCACTACAGCTTCCATGGAAATAGGGCCTGCTGCATCTCAGCCCTCGGGGCCTGGAGACACCTCCAGAGAGTGCCACATGGTGGCAAGCCTTAGCTCTGCCCTGCACCGCCTGAAAACAGGATGACAATTCCTGTCCTGCTCATCCCACAGGGCCACATGAGGACAGAGGGAGGCACGCCGGGGCCAGAGCTCCATGCACTCTTAGGCTTGGTACCTTTGCAAGGGCTGACCATGGCCATCACTCTAGCACTGCTGCTCACGGTAGGCAGTATTTAATGTTTTTCCCTAGTTTCTCAACAGCCAGCAAAACAGGGGTGAGCAGGGTGTGAACACAGAGTGCCAGGAAACGTGTAAGACATCCCCAGGTGTCGGGAGACATGTGGGCCCTGAGGCTGTTTGTGATGGTGTGCCTGTTTCCATGGTGATTGAACGAGGAGAGGAAAACCCACTGGGCCATCATCGGGCCTCGCCTGGGGAGTGAATAACACAGCCTCTGGGGTCTTTCAGGAGCCCAAAGGTGACACATTCAGGGGTCCTTGTGCCCCATCCCCACACCTGCCCTGCTCCCACTACTGCCAGGAGCAAGGCTGAGGACCTCAGGCATCAGGAAGTCTGATGAGAGGGACTTCACTGGGCAGGTGTCACGTGTGTAACATTTATTGTATTAATACTTAACAAAGCCTTCCAAGACCCAGGCTCCCCCTACCCCCTACCTTGGGCCACGTCTTCATCTTAGTCTTTGGGGAGAAAGCTCTGAAGTCAAGTGGTGAGTTTTCCAGAGCGAGTGCAGGGGCGCAGGGAAGGCTCTGAGCCCGCCTTCCCCAGAACACCTCAAGCTCTGCCCTGGCCCCAGGAATGGAGGTTTCTGCCATTCCCGAAGGCAGAGGAGGTCTGGGATCTGCTCGTCAGTTTGTAAACAAATGATTCTTCTCCTTGACACATTCTGTTCTCTGCTCTGGCCAAAGCTCTGGCTCTGAGACCCAGTGAGATCCTGGTAGCTGTCCAGGATGAGAGGGAGGCAGCCCTCTGTCACCAGGTCCCCCTTGGAGTTGGGGACACCGACGTCCTGAAACGTCCTGAAACTTAGTAAGAAGAGTCTGAGGGGCTACTCCTCTCTCCCCGTGGCCCCAGTTACTGGGTGTTCTCGTATTTCAGGTATCTAATCAGCCTGCCTGGGAGCGGCAAGGTGTCTAGGAGTTTTATACGGTATTTCCCAATGGCCTTTCGAACCCGCAGCCGGCAAAGGTGAGCCAGAGGTCTTGGAGGTTCTGAAAAAAGGAGGGAAAGGCAGAGGCTGATTTATCATTTGCAATAAGCAAAGGGATTGCATCTGTGACCCCAGTCTATGGGAGGAGCCCAGCTGATGTGGATGGGTAAGAGAGGGGGTGCCCGCTGCTGGTCACCCCAGTCCCTGCCAACTAAAGAGACCCAACAAGGCACCTTCCCACTGTTCACCCCTCATTGATCTGCACAGCTCAAGCAGTTGACAGCATGGTTAGCACACCCATTTCACAGGTGAGGAAACCGAGGCTTAGCAAGGTTCTGAGCCTTGCCCAGGATCCCTCCTGGGACTAGTGGTGGTGTCTCCCTCCTCTTGAGCCTCTTCCTCTTCACACACAAGCTGGGCCCCCAAACACAGCCTTAGCAATGGGGTCAGAGGTTTGACCTCTTAAGTGCTCCCACATGTGGAATTCAACTTGGAGCTCCTGGTGGTGCTGAGAGGCCAGGGTAAGGGGGCAGAGACTGGCAGCTCCCCTCAGGCCCCAGAATCCCACCTGGCTGCCTCCCCCAGGAGCCATGTAGTGAAGTTTTCTGAGCTGGGGAGTGGGTAGAGGTAAGAGCAGGGGATGAATGCACCCAGTAATGGAGTAATTTATTTCAATCCTCAGCAAAGGGTCGGATACAAAGAAAGGGCTTGTAGAATCACAGAATGTCATTCATTCACTCATTCATTCATTCATTCATTCATTCATTCACTCATTCATTCATTCATTCATTCACTCATTAATTCATTCATTCCCCAGGCACATGCTGAGCCCCTCTGCTGCACCTGACTCTGTGCTTGGGCCAGATATGCAGAGGTGCCTGCCCAGAGGCTCCAGGGGAGGCTTCCACAAGAGACGGTGCCCTTTGAGTGGGTCCTGAGGGCTGAGGGCAGGAATTTCCAGGTAAGGACAGGAGACAGGGACATTCTAAGCAGGGAAAACAGCAAGTGGCAAGGCCAGGAAGTCATGCAAGACCGGGGCTGGAGGGGCAGGTGGGATGTGCAGCGAAGGCGGAGGGCCAGGCAGCGGCAGTGTTGCCTAGCGAAGCATCCACACACCCATCACTGTTTCTGACACTTCCACTGCCCTCCGAGCTGCCCTCTGAGTTCACTGCCTTCTGAGCTCAGATGTTTCTACTACATAGTACCGCAAAGAGCAGGGAAGCATCATTCCTGTTGTCCAGGCATCTTGTCTGGTTAGCTCCTATTTCTATCTCTTAAATGCTGTGGTCTGGATAAAAAAATAACGTGGTTACCTTGTACATAGAAGGTCTTGAACATATATTCATTTAATGGCTGAATTGGAATAATTAATTATAGGCATTGAGGCCAGTTAGGACACTTTTTTAACAGTCCAGAAAATAGATGGGGAAAACCCTTAGGTAATAAGCTTAGAATATAACCTCCCCTCTGGGAAACTCAGCACAGGCTGTTGGTGAGCAGAGGACATGGAAGCATGAGGGCTGGGCTGGCCAATCCATGGGCTCTGGGTGTCCTTCCCAGAATAAGGATGTCGATGTTGTAGCATTAAACAAATAAGCGCGTGGGGACCATCTTGCAGGTGGAAAGTGGGCTTTAAAGTAACCCAAATAGGTATTGCTTAAGAACGACTTGTTTTACTGGCTAACAAATGTGTATTGCACACTAAGGTCTCTGCAGGGATTTCCCTGGGGCATGCTTTAGTTGTGAGGGATCACCCTTCTCTAAGGAAGGCAGGAGAAGGTAACAGAATGGGTGGGACTGATATCTAGGCATAGACTGCTCCACCCTCTAGTGCCCAAGGATCGTGGTGACAGCAACCAATTATTCATTAATTCCCTGAAGGTTTATCATGCATCTAGAGTTAAGCCCTGAGTGAATGCGCAAGTTGACACCTCCCTCCCCGTTACTGCCCCAGAAACTTTATCAAAGGCTTCAGTTCAAGTGCCTTCCAGGCACCTGTGCCAATGAAAAATCCTACAGCACATTTGGGATCACAGGGGTGTGAGGATCAAGGAGGAACGTGGTGAGTCAGAGTTAGGGCACAGGGGTGGGCCCCCGAGGCTGCACAGTCTCACCTGGGGACAGGAACAGTAGTGGTGGAATGACAATGACCTGCTGCAGGTCAGCCTCCTTTGACAAACACTTGGCCAGGGTAGGACTGTGCCCTCAGAGCCAGAGAAAGCCCTAGGGTAGCTGGAATGCCACTGCACAGATACCCATTTCTGTCACCGGTGGCAGAAATCCTGTTTGCCCAGGTGAGCTCCATCAATGCCTAAGAGGGATTCTGGCTTCCTCAGCCTGACTTAGCCAGGCAGCCCCATCTACTCTGCACACATCAGAGGGACAGTGGCCGAACCCCACTTCACTGTGCCTGGCACAGTTCAGGCGGGTAGAGCTGAAAGGGGCTGGACAATGATCCTGCCCAGGCATGTCTGTTCAGGTGGGGAGAGGCCTCACCCAGCAAGGCCCTGGCAAGGCTGGCTCCAGGGTTCAGGGGCCTGTCTCCCACACCAGGGTGTTCTGTGTACCAACAGCCTTGGCGCCACCTGGGAGCCTGCTGAAATACAGACTCCCCGGCCCCGCCCCAGACCTGCAGAATCAGAAGCTGCATTTTTAACAGGACACCCAGGTGCTTCATGTGCACTTTAGTCTCAGACACCCTAGACCACCATCCTCCCCTCTCCCCTCCTACAATGCCTCTTGGTGGCCCCAAATCGTTCACAACCTACTCTGAAGGTCCTGGTACCCCTCAGGGAGCTGTAGCTGTTTTAAACATCATGGAAAGATGTAGTGGAGAGACTCTGGGGTTGGTCAAACCTGGGTTTCAATCCCAGCTCTGCCACTAACTAACTGTGACTTTGGCCCAGGTGGCACAACTCTGTGAGGGGCAGATTCCTCATGTTTCATCCAAGGAGGCACAGAGCCTGGCACGGAGCAGATGGTCACGGGGTTAGGAACAGTCGCATTCCCTGAGGCCTGGGACTCTGAGTCAGGCAGGGAGATCTGCCAGCCTCGGCAGCAGCAGCAAGTTCCTACCTGCCTTCTCCTTGATGACGGCCCAGTCCTCAAAGCTGTCGATGTGCTCCTTCAGCCGCGAGCAGAGCTGCACATTGCCCACATAGTCCAGGAGGACATCAATGATGGGCCCTGCCCAGCGGCTCACCTCCGGGGCAGATACGAACTCACAGAACTGAAAGAGAACACGCCGGGACCAAGAAGTGAGTTCATTTCACCAGCAGGAGCCTGCGGCCAGGGAGGACAGGGGATGTGTCCAAGCACAGACACTGTGCATACCCAGGCTAGGATCCCCTGAACCATGTCACCTCAACACAGGCTTCTGCTGCCCCAAGTGGAAGATGGACAACTTAAGCAAGTCACATCACCTCTGAGCCTCAGTTTCCCTGTCTATAAAACAGGTACATGAAACCAATTCCAAGGGGATTTAACATGAGAATTAGGTAACATGAGCATAAACTTTGCACACAGTAGGCAGCTCATGAATGATCCCCATTAACCATTAAAATAATGATCTCCAGGAGAGGCGTGTGTCTAAATTCCTTTTAAGTTCTGACTCTTTTTTTTTTGCTTTTTCTTTTTTTTGAGCTGGAGTCTCGCTATGTTGCCCAGGCTGAAGTGCAGTGGCACGATCTCGGCTCACTGCAAGCTCCGCCTCCCGGGTTCACGCCATTCTCCTGCCTCAGCTTCCCGAGTAGCTGGGACTACAGGCGCCCGCCAACACGCCCGGCTAATTTTTTTATATTTTTAGTAGAGACGGGGTTTCACCGTGTTAGCCAGGATGGTCTCGATCTCCTGACCTCATGATCCGCCCGCCTGGGCCTCCCAAAGTATTGGGATTACAGGCGTGAGTCACCGCGCCCGGCCCAATTCTGACTTTTAAAGTAACAACATGGACATGTCCTGCCTCTGGGTCGCTGGTTTCTGCTCTGACCTGACCCTACACCAGCCTGCTCTCGACATCCCTTTCCGGATCGTGCTTATTTCACATCGCAGTCCAGGTGTAGGTTTGCTGGAGGTGACAAGCCTCTTAGTTTGGCAGAGTTCTCCAATCCGCTATTGGTTCCTTCAATTCCCCAACTCAGCGGACCACAATAAGGATTTCACTGTTCCAATGCACCACTAAGTTCTGCGGCCTCTAAAGTGTGCTAACTTCTAGTTCCTTCCAAAGCTCCCTCCAAAGCGCCCTAACCGCTAAGCCACACTACCCAGGACGCGGATTAACCACTGTGCTCTGCTGCCTCCAAAGCTGTCCACACTTCCCCCCAAAGGTGTTAATCACTAGTCCACGCTGCTTCCGAGGAGCGCGAACCACCCGGCCCCACCACCGCCCATGCGCGCTTGTCCCCAGGCCACATCCAAAAGCAGCACTCCCCACCAGCGGCGCGCGCCGCCCACCTGCACCACGCTGGGCTCCTTGTCGGACACGGGCGCATCGTTGAACCTGCTGGAGGGCTGCGGCGCCGGCGGGTGCGGGCCATTGCCGTAGAGGCATGAGAAGCAGGGCTCGCCGTCGCAGCCCAGGTCCATGAGGAACTTGAGCAGCGACAGGCACTTCATGGCGAACATGATGGTGGCGGGGAAGGCGGTGGGATGCGTGGCGATATAGGCGTCGATGTTCGCGCCGTGGTCTAGCAGCAGCTGCATGGTGCGCAGGCAGCCGTGGCGGATGGCCACGAGCAGGGGGCTGATGACGTCACGGTTGGGGTCGGCGCCGTGTTCCAGCAGCAGCTCGGTGGCGTACACGTTGTTGTTGACCACGGCGAAGTACAGCGCGGAGCTGCGCCGGTCCTCGTAGAGGCGCGCGCGCTCGGGCGCCAGCGGCGCGTTCACGTCGAAGCGGGCGCTCAGCAGCGCCTCCAGCACCGCGTCGTTGTTGCGCTCGGCCGCCAGGTGCAGCGGACTGACGCCGCTACGGCGTACGCGCGTGCGACTGGTCACCGGCAGCAGCATCTGCACGATCCTGCCAGGTTGAGGGGCGGGCGCGGGTGAGGGGAGGGGCGGGCGCGGGTGAGGGGAGGGGCGGGCGCGGGTGAGGGGAGGGGCGGAGTGGGGCAGGCCTCGCCAGCAGGGAGCGCTCGGGAGCCAGGCCTGGCTGCTCGCCCTTACCGCGGGCTGCGGCGCGGGTCCCACCGGCAGGGGGCGCCGCGGGTCAACCATTCTCACCCCATTGGGGAAGATGGGGTCAGCTGCCGTCCTCGCTTTACAGATAAGGAAACGGAGGCTCAGAGAGCTTCAGCCACCCTCCCAAAGTCACATAGCCAGTAAGGGGCAGAGCTGGGCTTCAGACCCAGAACCCTTGGCCTCGGAAGTCTGAGTCTTAAAAACCTGCCATACTGCACCAGGGTTTCAAGAAGCTGCCACTGATTTGTTTCAGGCTAAGCACTGTTGCCCATTGCCAGCTCAGTTATCTGGAGGAATTGACTGGAAGGCCCCCAAATCCAATGTGGCGAAGTTTGGAACCAGACCCTGCTCTCTCTGGGGGAGGACGGACAGGGACAGCCAGATCCCAGAGCCCACTATGTGCCAGAAGGCTCCTAAAGGCTTTACAAGTGCTATTGGGTTCAATCTTTACAATAACTCCTAAAGCAAGGCTCATCATTCCCATTTTGCAGATGAGAAGATTCAGGGCTTTGAGAGACTAAGGGGCTTGCCCAGCCATACAGTTAGAAGAGGGGAACCAGGGTGTGTGCCCTCCTCTGACTCCAGGGCTGAGCTGTCCTACATCCCTATCTTGCTGTCCTGGGACCCCAGTGGAGCCACGAGATCCTGAGGACAAAAGGGGACAAATGTGTTTGGCCCCAACTACTACTGCCCCAGGCCCCAACCAGCCCACTGTGACCATGAGGTTACTTACACTCCTCTCCTGTGTGTCTCACTGCCTCCTGCCCTGAAGGCTGATGCTAGCTTCTCCCAGTCTCTCTGCCTCACCTTCTGGATGTGGAGAACTTGGTCAGCCACTGCTGAAGCCTGAGCTCCCTGCAACCACCAGTTCCTCTCTGTCCTAAAACTCGAGCACTGATCTCAGCACTTTCCCTCTATTAATCTATGAAATCCTCCCAGTAGCCCTCTGAAGTGAGTACTATAATATCCTCACTTCAGAGGTGAGGAGACAGTAGCCCAGAGAAGGTATGTGACTCCTCCAAGGATACACAGCCAGTAAGTGATGGAGCCAGGAGTTAAACCCAGGCAGTCTGACCCCAAAGCTACACTCTTAACAACTCCCCTACCTCTTGTGTAGCAGTCAGGGTGACAGTTAACATATCATGGGGTTTTGCAGTCTTCACAATGTGTTAACTTGCCTGCCCATTTTACTTTCACTGCAGCCCTGGGTGGGAGTGGCCGGAGCAGGCCTGTGGCCTTCTTTTTAACAGATGTGGCTCAAAGAGCTGAGGTGACTAATCAGGAGTCATAAGACAACTCTGGGGACTCAACCCCAGGATTCTTGACCCCTTCTCTTGGCTCTCTTCTCCTAGACCCCTGCCACCTGCAAGAACAAGCTCCTGCCACCAATATGATTCCAGACCCTAATCCGCCCAATCCCTGCTGACAGGTGACCTCACAGCCTCCTGTGGGGCTCCAAGGAGGTGGCCATTGCAGGGGGTGGGGCGGGGGGGGGTGAAGGGGAGAGAAGCAGGTGCCACCAGGCCCATTCCCACGCCTCTCGCCTCCTGGCACGCTGGCTTCCTGGAAATCTGATGCCAGTGACCTCCTGCTGGGATCTCAGTGGAAACTATTATTATTGTTAGTGATGCTGTGTTTGGCTAAAATCTGACTCTAAAACCTCAAAAGGAAATTCACACACCCAGGGGGGCTAATTGCCTCCTAATTTCTATTTGTGTAGGCACAGGAGGCCTGACTTTGCTCTGCAGAGGTGCTGGTCAAAAGCAGGCCTGGGCCTCACCCTGGATGGCGGCCACAGCCAAGAAATGCTCCGCTAACAGCTGTAACATGCCCAAGCACGGAAAAGAACAGTGAGAGGGGCTGCCCTGGGGCCACTGGCCAGATGGGGCTGGTATCTCTGGCAGGTCACAGCTGGTCTCTGGCAATTCACGAACCAAGGGAAAGTGGCAGAAATGTGGGAACTTGAGCATTGTCTCAGTAATGCAGTGAATCACATTATTGTGGCAGGACTCTGCCAATCAGAAAGTAAATGTGTAATGCTGGACAGGCTCTGGAGATCAGTGTGTCCAGCTCTCCCATTTTACAGAGGGTAAAACTGAAGCCCAGACTTGGGGTGAGGAATAGAGTGAGGTTGGACAGAAGGTGGGTGGTGCACAAGAGCAAAATGCAGGTCTCTGGATGCCCAGGGTCACGCCTTCTACGATGCCCCACTCCTCCCAACCATGGGAGCGGCCATGTTGGTAGCCCCACTGCACATCATCACTCCTCTCCCCAGCCCATTTTGCGGGGCAGAGGACAGGAGGACAAGGGGGTGACCCCACCAAACAGTCTGACTCCCCACTTCTCCCACAGGCATGTTTTGGGATCTCAGACTACAATTGCTCAAGCGGCACCTTATGAAGAGGATCAAAGGTGACCATCGCCTGACAGAGCCGTAGGTGTCTGGAAGGATGGCTCCCTACCCCTTCCTTGTCCCCTCCCCAATGCAGAGGCCACACCTACCAGCTTAGCTTTGCCTGTCTAGGCCCTGAGACCAGAGCAGATCCAGCTCAGGGTCATTCCAGAAAGGCCCAGTGCAGCAGCGTGGCAGGTGCTGAGCTGTCTCTGACCTTGGACCACATTCCGAATCACTGGGCTCCTGTCTTGTTCCCGGGACTCACCAGTGTCTGAAGCCTGACATCCTTGCCCCAGGCCCGGGCTCCCACGCCAGGATTCTAGTTTCCTCAAAGCAGCAGCCTTGCCATACCACCTGGCCCTGGCTCTGATGTCCTTTCTGAATCTAGCCCAACAGCAGGGGAACGGGCAGAGAGCTTTGAGCCAACGCAAGCTGTCCTTAGCTAGAGAGGGGCCCAGCATGGGCACTGGGGAAACCAGGAGGCTCAGAGTCAGGGGTACATGGGTTACACACCAGCTCTGCTTTTCAGCACTGGGCCAGCACAGGCAAGTCACTTAACCTCTCTGAACCACACCTAAAGCAGAGGGGTAATTAATTGTAATAATAGTGATGATGATGATGATGATGATGATGATGATGATGATGACGATGGCTATAGCTACCCTTTATTGAGCTCCAATGGGTTGCTGTGAGCACTTTACCCCTTACCTTCCTAAGTCATAGTTGTGCTAATATTGCTGAGCGCTTACTATGTGCCAGGTACCATTTAAAGGGGTGCTCACATTTGTTTACTTAATTTAATCCTAGCATGACCCTCAGAGCTAAGAACTTAATCTCATTTACTCATTTACTCATAACAGTCCAGCAAGGTAGGACTGCTTACAATCCCAGGTCCAGGTTACAAAGCACAATGTAATAATCTTTCACCAAGGCTGCTTTTGAGTATAAAATGAGATCTTACGCATGAATCTGATCGGCCTGTAGGCGGCAGTGAATAAACAGTGCTCTTGGTATCTTGACCACCACAATGACTGCAGCCTACTGCCCCTGTGACCCTAAACACAGAGGTATTCTGAGTCACCAGGTCACTGTGGTGTGACCTTTGTCAGTGTTCAGTGTAAATTTGGATGGAGGGCCGGGTGCGGTGGCTCACGCCTGTAATCCCAGCACTTTGGGAGGCTGAGGCGGGTGGATCACTTGAGCTCAGGAGTTCGAGACCAGCCTGGACAACATGATGAAACCCCGTCTCTACTAAAATACAAAAATTAGCCAGGTGTGGTGGTGGACACCTGTAATCCCAGCTACTTGGGAGGCTGAGGAAGGAGAATCACTTGAACCCAGGAGGAAGAGGTTGAAGTGAGCCAAGATCGTGCCACTGCACTCCAGCCTGGGTGAAGAGAGAGACTTGGTCTCAAAGACAAACAAACAACAACAACAACAACAAATTGGCTGGAAGATTGACATGGGAACCGGTTGCCCACAGACGGCTCCATTGCCAACACTTCTGAGCTTCACTGTGCCACTCTGACTTGTTTCCTATGAAGTCTTGAGTTCTGAGCCTCAGTTTCTCTTTTAACTAATGGGGATATTAACTTGCTTGTCAATGTACTTTATAAACTGCTTTTTAATTTAATATATTAAGTGTTCTCTATTTTGCCTTGTTCCAGAAAGAATTTCAACCGGCTTGCAAAGATTGATAAAATACAGCAAAAGTATTATATATTGGAGTTAAAAGAGAAGGAATATTTTAAAACGAGGGAGTCAGAAGTAAGGCCCAGAACACAAGTCTGTGTTTTCTCTTGGCCACAGAAGAGGCTCTGAGATCCTGATTCTCTACTCAGGCTGCACAGTAAAATCTCCTGGGCAGCTCTTAGACACCCTGAAGCCTCAGGCACAGCCCAGGCCAGTGGCAGCACCATCTAGTCAGTGGGGCCCAGGCATCAGGGTTCCTAGAGCAGCCAAGGTTGGAAACTACTGTTTTGGGAGCTATTCTTGGGCCATCTGCTCTGGGCTAACTCATACAGTTTCTGAATAAATCTATCTTTGGTGTTGATCTTTTATTTCATACAGTGGCTTTGCTAAACTGGAAATGAACAACAGGAAAATGTGTGTCTTGGAGGTGACTGGGACATCAGGACTTTAGGGCTCCTTTCTCAGCACACCCACATGTCACCCCCTGTGGTTAAGTGTGCTGACGAGAAGACACCATGTGGCAAACAGCCCTCGGCTCCTGGTGCTGCCTTCTATGCCTGGGACGGCTAGGGTGTGTTGACAGGTGGCAGAATGCGGAATGCCTATGGAATGTCACATCAAATCCCCGAGCAGAGGGCCTTTAATGCTGTATGCCCAGGGAGGGAGTGATGAGCTCGGGGCTTGCTGGCCATGGGCCCTGCCCCGTGGCAGAGGCTGCTGGGAACCAGGCTTTAACCCTTTGTTGGGTAGCCCTAAAAAGTGGCCCAGGCCCTCTGAGCCTTGGGGGACAGAGGGAAATGGGGCCTGAGAGGGGAGGTTGAATAACCAGGGAATTCATCCTGGGAATCTGCATGAATCCAGGGTAGGTGAGTTTAGGGGAACATCAACCATGTATACAGTGTTCCTGGATCATCCCCAAGGCCGCCTAGGGCCCATTCAGCTTCTCCTCCAGCTGGGGTCAGACTGCCAACACCTCTGGGTTCACTTGAAGGCAGCCCAGATGAACGTCCCAGCCCTGCTGCTATCTCGAAAATCACTTCCATATCTGGCCTTGGCTTCCTTCTCTGTAAAACCAGGGCCTGAGTTAGATCAATGGCCCCTGCAGCTATGGACAGGCTGTATCTGATTTTCTCCGGGAGCTTTTCAAAGAGACAGTGGGGCTCCTTCTCTCCTGGAGATTCTGGTTCACTGGATCTGACATGGCATTTTAAAAATAGCCCAGAGGGACATGGATGTGCAGGCTAGAATTGGGGGGTAGTGGCCCAGGAGATTTCCAAAGTGCACACATTTCCCGCATGTTCACTCTGGATCTGTCTGGGGTCAGGCTCAAGGTAAACTGTGTTTGCCCAACTCTGACTGATGCCCGATGATTTGTGGAACTGAAGAGAAAGGAGCCATCTTGCCCGTGCCCACTGCCTGGCTTGAGCTGTAACTGCACAACCATGGAATACACTCTCCCTAAGTAAGAGTGGGTGAGCATAGAATGCCTGGGCACACACTAGGTGCAGGCGCTCTGCTAGGTGCTTTATTTCCATTCTATATCCATGCATGTCCATTATATCCATTTTACTGGTCCTCTGACAACCCCATGAGCCGGCTGTAACCATTTCCCATTTTATAAATGAGGAAAATGAGGCTCAGCAAAGTTGAACAACTTTCCCAATGGCCTCAGCAGGGATTCACACCCAGATCTGTCAGCCTTGTGGACAGCTATGCTGTCCAGAAAAGGCCGGGTCTCCTCTGTGTATGTCCTTGAGGGTGGGGAGTGGGGAGGGCATCTTTGGTTGGTCTGGTGCTGGCAGCCTGCGCAGAAGGGGCCGGAGCTTTAAGGGCCACCTCTGAAGCCTTGAGTCTTCATTTCAGTCTTTGGAATGTCTCTTTCACCCCATTTCCCTCTGCCTTAGTGAAGACAACAAACACACCCCCACACACACAATCTGTGCTTCTCACTCTCCTCCCTGTCTGGAAGACTGGGGTGTGTTTTCCCAGTGTCATCAGGGTACATGAGATGGGATTTTAAGTGAAATGTTTTTAAAATTGATTGTAAATGGATAACATACTAGTGTGATAAATGTTTCCTCTTCAAAATAAATTCATTGTAAGTAAAAACATTATTTAAAGGAAAAAATACTAAACAATGAGAATATAGATATTTAAAATCAAGAAGAAAATCTGTGAATGGACAAAGTTTGGGAAGCACTGTCCATCAGAAAGGGCCAGGTGCTGGGGTTTAAGTCCCAGCCCTGGGGACAGGGCTTTCAAGGGGCAAGTCTCTTGACTTAGCTTCCTGCCCTGTAAAATGAAAATCCGGTTGACCCGCATACCCACAGCACAGCGTGCGGCCCACATGACAGGCAGATGAGTCACACTCTGGAAATGACCAAGCCCTGTCCATCCTTCAAGGGCAGCTGGAGCTCCACGTCTGTGGCCCAGGCTTCCCCATGTAGCAGTGTTGCTGGGAATGTTTAAAAACTGGCTCAAGCACGGGCAGAGAAGGGGGAAAGGGCTCTGGTTTGTAGCATTTGCCAATTTCCATGCTGTAAATATTCCATGGCCAAATTTAAGCTACCAATGTGAGGTCAACAAACACAGAGTTGGGAAGAGGTGTGCAGTAGGTTCATGAGAACTGGCACGAGCTGGCTCTAGCACACCTCTGCCTCTAGCCCCGGCTCATCTCTCTCCACAGCAGCCATGCAGCTCTTCGGCATGCTCTTGCATGATGTCACTAATTCACATATCTGTGCTTCTTCCCTTCCTCCAGATTGCTCCTTGGGAACTCAAGCCTCTCTCATCTCGCTCAGAGTATCTAGCACATAGTAATTGCTCAATAACTGCTAGTTCTTATCATTGGTGCTGTTTGTGTTATTGTAGGTTTTCCTTGCATGCTTGCTAATTGCCTGGGAGGTTATCTTTGCATTCCTGTACTCCCGAAAATATTCATTAGTTCAGACTCACATCTGCCCCCTGGATAGAATTCCTGTAGATGTGACCTTTGGAGCAGATGAGTACTTCCCACCTATGAGCTGTGTGACCTTGGGCAAGTCACTCAACCTCTCTGTGTCTTACTTCCTCATCTAAACGACAGAGATAATAATATCCACCTCCATGAGCTGTTAAGCAGATTAAATAAGTTTCTGATGTGAAGTTCTGGTAAGTGCTGCATAAGGGTTTGCTATTATTATTGCTGCTGCTGTTGTTATAGGCATTCACTCCATGCTTGCTAACTTGCTAAGGGGTTTCCCTCTTTTCCATGAGAAAGGTGATGTCCATTCTGACCTCTCCAGCTACTTGGGTGGGACATTCAGGGCAGGCCCACCCCTCCCATCCACTACTCCCAGTGTGGGTCTCTAGAGAGCTGCCTGGGTGCTGGCAGAGCCTGGGCTGACCTGTAGTTGCCCTTCTTGGAGGCGATGTGCAGTGGGAGCAAGCCGTCCTTGTTGGTCTTGTTGGCGTCGGCACCCTGTAACAGCAGAAACTCCACCACCTCCTCATGCTCGTTCTTGCAGGCCTCGTAGAGGGCAGACGCGCTGTCGCTGGCCTGTGTGTTGATGTCAGCACCTGGGGAAGGAGAAGCAGATCACCAAGTGACCAAGTGACCAGGAATTTGCTGTACTCAGTGTAGCGCCACCGCGTGGTGGGCCTGCAGTGCTAACCACGGTAGTTCGTCGGATCTTTAACAACGACCCTTAGGAAGGAGGAGTCTACCCGGGGCCACCCCCAGCTTCTTTCAACAACATCAAGACCCAGGGGCCTGGCCAGGCGCAGTGGTTCATGCCTGTAATCCCAGCACTTTGGGAGACCGAGGCAGGCAGATCACCTGAAGTCAGGAGTTCAAGACCAGCCTGGCCAACATGGTGAAACCCTGTCTTTATTAAAAATACAAAAATTAGCTGGGCATGGTAGTGGGCACCTATAATCCCAGCTACTCAGGAGGCTGAGGCAGGAGAATCTCTTGAACCCGGGAGGTGGAGGCTGCAGTGAGCCGAGAGTATGCCATTGCACTCCAGCCTGGGCAACAAGAGTGAAACTCCATCTGGGGGGGGGGGGGGGGAAAACCCAGGGGCCTGCCAGCCTGAACAGAGACCTCTGAGAGGATACAAGCAGCCACGATGATGCTGGCATTTTCTGAGCACCTACTCCGTGCTGAGCATCGTGCTTTCCACAGGCTATATCTGAATTCACAGTGGGTAGTCACCCTGTGAGGTCAGTACTGCTCTTATCTCCAGATTACAGACGGGGGCAGTGAAGCACAGAACACCTAGACCACTTGCCTCAGACCTCCCAGCTCATAAAGATGGAGCCAAACTTGAACCCAGATGGTCTGATGGCAGAGGCCATGGTGGATGTTCTGATGGTAGAGGCCATGCTCTTAACCCTCACTCCATGTAAGAGGGCCTGGGTTCTGCCCTGACAGAGGCCTCACAGGTCTAGGACAGCACAGAACCCCTAATAAAGGAAAATCCCAAAAATGTTACTAATTGCAATTTGCTATTAATATTGCTATTATTATTGCTAATATTGCCATCTATTAATATTGATCGTTATTGCTATCAGTAACTTCTAGCTCTTATCATTAGTGCTCTTTGTGCGAAGTATTCCCTGCATGCTTGCTAACTGCTAATTCTCTGCCTTTCACTTCAAGGAATAAGATAATTACTTTCTGTCTCCTCCCAAGAAAATACTAGACCAGGTGCAGTGGCTCACACTTGTAATCCCAGCACTTTGGGAGGCCAAGGCGGGAGGATCACTTGAGCCCGGGAGTTCAAGACTAGCCTGGGTAACCTAATGAGACTCTGTTTGTTCTCTACACCTACTGAGTAGCCCCTGACCAGGCATGGTGGCACATGCCTGTAGTTCCAGCTACTTGGAAGGCTGACGTGCGAGGATTACTTGAGCCTGGAAGGTTGATCTAGGCTGCAGTGAGCCAGGATCACACCACTGCACTCCAGCCTAGGCAACAAAGTGAGACCCTGTCCCCAAAACAAAAACAAAAACAAAAACAAACAAAACCCAGAAAACATTAATCCATGCTGTTAGGAGGAGTAATCAGGTCTGGTGACAATCTGCCTTCAGCTTAATCTTCTACACCTGCTTCATCTCCTGGTGGGTGAGGGAGAGAACCGATGTGCACACAGCTTTCTCTGCACAAAGAGAGTTCAGCAGTCCTTCCTTGCTCTGGAAGGACATGGAACTAAGATGCTGGAAGATGTCAGTGGGGCTAAAATCAAAAGCGTCTGCTAACCACAGGTCATCTCTCTAAGCATGTTGCTGATCTCAGGCTTTCTGGTAGTTTCTTATTTTTGACGATGGTGTGATCAGTTTCTTGTCTAGTGGAAAGAGCACAGGCTTTGGCATCAGATGAGAATCACTTGAGGCGTCTGTTTCATGGCTCACAAGCTCTGCAGTCTCAGAAAGCCTTTAGGAGCCTCAGTTTTCTCATCTGTTGACCAGGAATAATAGTACCTACCCCTCAGGATTACTGCAGGGAATGAACAGAATAATGTAAGCACATTTCTCAGCTCTGTGCCCGCCACAGGGAAGCTGCTCAGCAAATGCCAGTTGCTCGGGATGGAAGGAGCTGGGCAGAGGGCTTCGTTCTGCCTCCAGCCTGAGGGAAAGCCAGTGAGCCGCCCTCACCCTCTGTCGGGCTCTCAGAGGCAGGTGCCCTGGAGAGCCTGGACCCCACCAGCAAAGCCACGTGCTCACACAAGACAAATATTTGGGTTGGAAAATAGACTCAGCCCACAAAGTGAACAGACCCTGACTCAGAGTGTCGGCGGGAGACCCGGACAGATGTTTGGAGTTAGTGAGGTCACCCTTGCCCGCTGAGTGTGCTGTCCTTCACCAGGACTCCCGGCCTGGGCTCCCAGGACCCTGCCTGTGCCCCTTTGTTCTTAGGCTGGGCAGCCCAGATTTGTTCCTGGCTGCAGGGAAGGGCCTGCCTCTATGTTCCTCACTGCTTGGGCATGTGCTGAGTGCATGGATGCTTACCTGGGCAGAGTCCCATGCTGCTGACTCTCACAGGCTAGGGTGGCTGGTAGAGCACAAAGCACATGCAGTTTGGAGTCAGATGGCAGTGGACCAGCATCCAGGCTTGGACTGTGACCGATTAGTTAACCTCTCTGAACCTCAGTCTCTTCATCTATAAAATGGGACGAGCACACTACCTACCATATGGGGCTATGGGGAAAGCTCCATGGACCCAGTCTGTGTTCACACTTAGCAAGTCCTCAACAGATTACTACAGTTCAGCCTCCGTGTCTGGATTACCTCTGGCTTCTCTGTTGCTAGAGAGAGAGGGTTACTTCCCATGGAGAGAGAAAAGAAATCAAAGGCGTTCTTGGGGAAGATGAGGATATAATATTCTGAAACCAAAAGCAAGTCTGCCATGTCTAGGGGTCTTCTGCTACTGGGCCATCATAATGCAGGCCGTATTGTGTTATCTTCTCCCATTAAGATATTTCACAGGCAAAGAGGGCAAAGACCTGGGTTCAAGTCCCAGCTCTGCCACTAATTTGCTGTGTGACCTTGGACAAATCACTTTCCCATCCTGGTCCTTGAGTTCATCACCCATAAAAGGAGGAGGAGGTGATCTAAATGTTGCCTGAGGTTCCTTCTGGCCCTGAAGTGTGATGTGGTGGAAAGAGAAGCGGTTGGGGTGTCAGGAGACCAAGAGTCTAGCTAGTTCTACAACTAATTTGCTATAGGACTGTAGATGAGTCACTTCCTCTCTCTGTGCCTCAGACTCCTCGTTTGTAAAATGAAAATGTTGGACTAGATTATAAATGGCAAATAGGTGGTTCATGGGCCATACCCCCATATTTGTGCTAATGGCAGATGTCACTAGTGGATCCCGACACTCTTCCCACTGAGCCTGGACACAGCCTCAGGATCTTTCTCAACACAGTACTCTAGAAGGAAACTCACTCCGTCAGTGTGCCCACAAGATGACCCCTAACTCGCCTTCCCTTAGAGCTGACCTCTGACATCCTTCCCGTGTGCCCTTTGGGGACTCTATGACCTAGGGACACTTGGCCACTCACCGTACTTGGCTAAGAACCTTAGGGCCTCCAGCTGCCCACTCTGGGCAGCCACGAACAAGGGGGTGATGCCGTAGGCATTCTTGGATTCCACCTTGGCTCCTCCGTTCACCAGGATCTCCATGACCTCTAGGTCATTGCGAGACACAGACTCATGCAGAGCGGTCCAGCCGCGGTTGCAGCGGTGGTTGGTGTCTGCGTTGTGCTGCACCAGAATCTTCACTGCCTCCGCGTTCTTGCGCTCACAGGCTGTGCTCAGGGGGAAGCAGGGATGGTCAGCAGGGCCTGGCAGGAACTGGCCAGCAGAGACTGCTTTCATTCACCTGTCCATTCACTCATCCACTCATTCAGCTTTCCACTGCATGTGTATTAAGTTCCAGTCTGTGCATTGAACCTGATAGACGACTAAAAGTAATACTGATACTAATATTAGCAAGAATACTTGTTGATTCATATATTTAGTACTGGTTCTATCCCAGGCTCTCTGTTCTAAGCACATTTTACAGGATTAACTAATGTAATCCTCCCAAATTCCCTTAAAGGATGTAGTGATGTTATCCCCTTTCACAGATAAGGAAGGTGAGGCACAGAGAGGGTAAGTGATTTGCCCAAAGTCACACAGATACTAAGTGGCAGAACTGGAATTCAAACCCAGGTAGTCAGGCTGAAGGTCTCTGTCCCCTGGGATGTCCCAGGATGTCCCTATGATTTCCCCTTCCAATGGTACCTGCTTCAGTCTTCCACATTACCAACGCTGGGAGATTCTTTCTAGATGAGGAGTGGACAGTGTCATCATCCGACTGAAACTCCCCCTGCTCCAGCAAAGGCTACTAATTTAGTTCAGGGTAAAATGCAGGTTGTGAGTACAGCTCTGCAAGTCTTTCCTGACCCACTCTAACCTCCTTTATAAGCCTCATCTCTCTCTAGACCCCAAACGTGCCCTTGGCTCTGGCCCTAGAGTTCTCACCAGGAGCTGCAGATGGTATTGGAGTCACCTGGGCACTTGTCCAAATTAACCAGCCCTGGAAGCTTCTCTGTGTGTCAGTGGGAGGAGGAGTGAGGAATGGGTCAGGGAGACTGGCAACAGCAGGAGGAGGGCTGCCTGTGTACTGTTTCAAACAGGACCATAGCCCAAGCCTTCTACCTCTCTAAGCCTTGATTTTCTCACCTGTAAAATGGAGAGAATAAAACCTTCTCGAGCGGATGCTATGGGAGTGAGACTGTGTGTAAGGCATGAGCATGGTGCTTGACACATAGTAGGTGTGCTTGCTAGACCAGGGCCAAGCTCTGGCTGTGGGCTGTCCAGCTTCCTGGGCACTCCCTCTGGACAGCTGAGGTTCCAGGTGATAACCATGGCGCCCTGGCAGACACGGATTCCAGGGAAGACACTTCCACAGTGGGTCTGCAGTGGATCCAAAGACCTACTACACAGTTCCTGCTGCCCAAGCTGTTCCAAGCACTGGATAGCAGACACATGGGAAATCAAGGATATCTGTAATTTTTCCAAGTACAAAGGCCTGGTCATTTTTGCAAGACCCCAGCTGATTGCTTCAGCATGTAGGCATGGACAGGATGTTTAGAATGAAGTGGTTGAGTGCAGTGTGACATCCACCTCCCTGAGTTTGAACCACTGGGGTACCCCTTGCTAGCTGTGTGATCCTGGGCAACCCATTTCATGTCTCGGTGCCTTAGGTCCTCATCTGTGAAAGGGGACACTGGCAGTGCCTACCTCATGTGTAGATAGACATGAGGGTTCCGTAAGAGAACAGTGCCTGGCATATACTAAACACTCGATCAATGCTATTGTGATTATTTAGATTTTGACTCTGGTACTGCTAGGGCAGCCAACAAATGTCCATGGATGATGTACTGAGTAAGCTAGGAGGCCTTGCTTTTCTTAAACAAATGTCCCAGAGGTACATGCTCTCGCACTCCTTCATGCCTTTGCCTGTGTGGTTCCCCCTGCTTGGCCAGTGGGTAATTCCTCCTCTGCGGTTCAGCTCAGGCACCCCTCCTCTGGGTGCCCCTCCCCCATGCTCCCACAATATCCCCTGCCAAGCTCTTCACTGCTGTCTGTGTGTGGGTGCCTACAGGGCTGGGAGGGTGCACAGGTTGGACTATAGTTTTTCAGCTCCGAGCCCTCAGTGTCCCTCAGCATCCTGGCCCATGGGAGGCAGTTGGAAAATGTTGGTAAAATGCATGCAGGAGGCCGGGCGCGGTGGCTCAAGCCTGTAATCCCAGCACTTTGGGAGGCCGAGACGGGCGGATCACGAGGTCAGGAGATCGAGACCCTCCTGGCTAACACGGTGAAACCCCGTCTCTACTAAAAAATACAAAAAAAAACTAGCCGGGCGAGGTGGCGGGCGCCTATAGTCCCAGTTACTTGGGAGGCTGAGGCAGGAGAATGGCGTGAATCCAAGAGGAGGAGCTTGCAGTGAGCTGAGATCCGGCCACTGCACTCCAGCCTGGGTGACAGAGCGAGGCTCCGTCTCAAAAAAAAAAAAAAAAAAAAAGGAAAAAAAAAAAATGCATGCAGGAATGAATGATTCAGTTACATAATTGTGAATTTGAGCAGGGCCACATTGGGGGTTATGCACTTATGGGAGCAACATTCCCTGTTGCCCACCCACCTTCTGGATTCTTCCTCAGGAAAGCCCACTCCGGGGTGGGGACCTCACCTTTGTAGAGCGGTGTCTCTCGGGATTTGTTAGAGATGTCCGGCTCTGCTCCTGCCTGGAGAAGTGACAGGAGACAGTCCAGGTGGCCCCTGCACGTTGCCAAGTAAACGGCTGTTTCCTCCTGCAGGGTGCGCTGGTCGATGGTCCCTGGGTACGCTAGGGAGGGCCGACCGGGAAATTCATGTAGGAAGAAGATACTCGATCCCGCAACACAGAGGCTTTCCAGATTGCCTCCCAATTTCAGGAACAATCTATGACATCCTCTGAAATTTACCAACTACAGACTGTATTCATCTGGCCCTTTCACAGGGCCATTTTAGCTTCCTGGTTGTACAAGTCCATGCTCAGATGCCACGTCCTCTGAGAAGCCTTCCCTAATTGAGCCCCTCCCTCTTCTAATACTCCTGTCCTTCCCTCAAACTCACACCAGCCATTGCTGGAAACCCGCTGTTACATGCTGTGGTTTCTTGGAGTGTGGGGGACCGTTTGGGGTCTGTGCTGCTTCAGGGCAGAGGTGACACCTGCCTGCAGGAGTTGTCCTTCTAAGCCTGGCTCAGCACAAAGACAGGGCTCAGAGAGGAGGCATGGCTGACCCAGGGCCCCACAGCAGGTGGGGGATAGCCTTGGCCGGGTACAGGCACAGCTGCAGTATTTTTCATACCAAATCAGCCCCTGGGACATTCTGGAACAAGTTGGCAGCAGCTCTCCTAAAAGTCAGCCCTCCCTCATTCCTTTTCTAGGAATGAGGCTCTCCTGTCCTCAGAGGCCTGGAGAGGTGGCAGCAGGGGGTGTCTGTCGGGGGTGGAGACAACTCATCTCCCCTCTCCTAACTCTGTGACTAACTGACAAATGAAGGTGACAGCCTTGCCTGTCCTTCTCACCAAGGTGGTTGTGGGCAAAGAACATGAAGCCCCAGGAGCAGCAGCCCTTCCCCCAGTCCCTTTCCCACCTCTTGCCACATCCAGAGCCCAACCCTCACCTCGCTGCAGGACCTTCAGGCAGCCTAGCTGGCCATAGTACGCGGCCTCGTGCAGCGGTAGCCAGCCCTCCTTGTTGGGCTCTGCGAGATTCTTCCCTTCCTTGATCATGGTCTTCAAGGCCTCTTCATCGCCATTCTTGATGGCCTTTATCAAGGGATCCACAGGCCTGTGAGAGCAAGGAGTGGGTCAGTCCTCAAGGTCAGGCCAAGGCCAGACCAGGGGTCCTTTCTCCCAGGGAGTGCTGGCAGTGGGGTCACTCGGGCCTCGTCCCCGCTGGTTCTAGGATGAGCACTCAGCCCCCTGCAGCCCAGTGGCTGCAAGAGGATTGGGGGACCCCTTAATCCCTGTGGCTTTCTATGGCTGCAGTGAATGTTATACCAAGACCATTTTTACCAAGAAGATTCAGGCACACAGTGCCAGCCTCCTAAGGGGTGGCTAACCACCCACATGCCAGGCACTTGTGAGAATTAAATGCTTTCCCTGAGTATAGCGCTCTAACGTTTACCAGGCATGCCCACCTCGAGGGCCCCTCTTAACCCTGAGCCTCTCTCTGGGGTCTTCCAACTCCTCTCCTTGCCCCGTCACTTATTCCCACTCCCAGTACATCCAGCTGCAGAAAAAAAAATTACTGGAAGGATTAATAAATTTGAAGCTTTCACAATTTAAAACTTTTGAATGTCAAAAAGACTTCAGGGCTAAAGTGAAGCCATTCCTTGCTTGGCTTGTTAAAGTCCCTTTGTTCATTCATTGCTTCCTTCCTTCCTTCATTCATTCATTCACTGAGCTCCCTGCCCCGTCCTTGGAGAGTCCATGAGAACCACGATGGCTGTGGCTCTCTGATCCACTTTTGGGGAGGGTTCTGCATCAATAGTCCCATTTCCCAGATGGAGAAGGTGAGGCTGGAGGCAAGCCTCATTCCCAGGACCCCCACGCCATGTTGGGCTAGGATGGGCTCTGGGGGTCTCTGCCACCAGCCCCTGCACCCTCCCAGCCACTTCCTCCAGCGTGAGCAGCACTTCTTCCTGCTCTCAGGCTCTCTGGTTATTAATAGCATCAGAGCACAGATGCCGGTGAAGCAACAGACCCAGCAAGGACGATGGGAAACTGACCAGATAAGTCCTGAAGTCCCCATCAACACCGTCACTGCCACCTTCACGAGTTCCACTTAGGAGCAGCCAGAGCAGCCCCTGCCAGCATCAGGAAAAGCCCAGTGGGGGTATGTGCCCCCCTTTTCCTGGAGGGTCTTCAATGGGACCCCAGCTGAAGTGGAAGGGAGGAGGGCTGGCTTTTCTCGTGGCCTTGGTGAGCAGGACGCGGTGCAGTGTCGTGAGAACACTTTCAGGACCTGCCGCCCAGCTTAGGTCTCTCCAGCTGTGATGCAAGGACCCTGGAGCTCTTAGCCCACACATTCACAGCTTCTCTGTGACCTCAGACATAGTCTCTGCCCTGTGGGTGGGGGAGGGTGCTGGGGGGGGTCAGGCCATCAGAAAGTAATAAGCTGGATGGGACCCTAGAGGTCACGTTGCCCTGTCCTACAGAGAAGGGAGACTCAGAGGAGCCAGCAACTCTCAGGCAGTCACGTGGGAGGTAGCAGTAGCTGAGACCAGCACTGGGTTTCCCTTTTCCAGATTGTCAACCACTCCACACACCCACCACACCAAGGAAGTGGAGGGCGGCAGGATTTGAAAAAGGCTGGGAAGGAGAAAGAAAATACTGACCAATTGCCTCCTCCCTTCTCTACAACGTAACTGAGTGAGGAAATGCGGTTCCAGTGATGGGGCCCCTCTTTTGCTTTTGGCTGCTTCCGGGGTCACTATTCCGGCGGTACAGAGAGGGGAGGGGGGCAGAATTATTTTCTAAGGAACCCATTAGCCCTGCCCCTGGTGCCAGGCAAACAGAACCCCTGCAGCTTAGATTAGTTCTGGATTTTAGCACCTGGCACTTCACAAACAAGGACAACAAAACAAAACAAAGGCTGTGGGTGTGGGCATTTTGGATGGACCCAGAGTGATGGCATGGAGGAAAGTGAGACTGGGACAAACAAGGGTGCAGCCAACTCATCAAGTTCAACTCCAAGCTCTTCTGGGCCTCAGGGGTGCTAAGGCCATCTCCCCAATTTCCCTCGTGCTGGGTCCCCAGTTTCAGAGCCCCGTGGGGCTCCTCCAGCACTCAGGTCCCGTGCTGGGGGCATCTGAGGGAGGATCACCAGCATGCCTGGCTGGCAGTTCCTTGAGGACCAAAGTCTGTGGCCACCAAGCCCAGCTCAGCAGGAGCAGCGGGGCCCCAAGGGGACGCCCCTAGAAGGGGCTTGCACGGCAGGTGCCTCCATAGTGCCCTCTGCCCTCCTGGGGGCTGGGGGTCTGCTTCCCACCCTCCCTACCATCCCAATTAGGGGAGTGAACTTGGATGGTCCTGGGGCCAGACAGGAGTCACTTACGCCAGCTGGGAGGTCTGGAACAAGCTGCTGCTGTATTTCTGCATGACCCCTTGGAACAAGCCCATCGGGGCCCGGGCCGGCGAGCTCTCAGGAGGTGCAGTGGACCTGGAGGGTGCAGAGCAGGAGTGAAAGAGGGAAAAGTACTCTGCATAGGAGAAGCGGGTCATGGCTTCAGGCAGGAACGAGGATGGAGGGAGAGCCGGGGAGGGACTGACTGACAGACAGACACAGGGCTCTGAACCAAAGCAGATGGCTGGGTCCTCTCTGTGTGCTGGACACAGCTGCTGTGTCTCCGGATTATTTTTGGCCCTTGGAGGAAGCCCTGGGAGATTTAAATGACCATATAAGACAACAATGAGGTTAACCTCACCCCACCCCCTCGTCCCCCTCCCCAGCCAACCACGAGAGAGGCAGATAGGAAGCAAGGTGACATTCTTCACCCAGGAGGATGTGAGCCACGGACGGCAGGTCGGCAGGTCCCCGGATGAAAGGGGCTCAGGCTCACCGCTGGCCAGGCAGATCCCTGCAGGGCTGGATGAGAGATTCATGGGGAAGCAGAGGATAGGGGAGCAAAGCTGAGAAACCAAGCTGTGCCTGTGGCCCCCACGCCCACCTGCCGGCCCCTCATTAGGGGATCTTGTCCTAGGGGTGGGAGCAGATGCTATAGTAACTTCTACAGTGTTACTATAGGATGCACGAGGAAGGGTGTCAGAACCAGGGCTGCAGTCAGACACAGGTTCACATCCAGGCTCTGGCACTCCTTGGCCGTGTGACATGGGACGGGTTGACCTTCTCTGTGCCTTAGTCCCCCCATCTGCAAGGTGGCATGAAAAGAGCCTGTGCTCGATGGCCAGTGAGGCCTGAGTAAGCGAATTGTGTGAGGAGTTTAGTGGAGTGTAAAGCACAGAGGGTGTTCCACACGTGCTAACTATTCATTTTATCATGCTTTTGCCTCTATGGCCTCAGTTTTCCCACCCCATCAGGCTCTTGTGAGAGTGGAAGAGCTGGAAGGAGGTGGGATGGCCACTCCACAAATCTGAGTTGGCCTGAGGTTGTCGTGAAAACAGGGTATGTGGCCCCTACTGACCCCACCCCCAGTAGGTCAGGCCTGGCGCTCTCGACACCCTAGTGGCCCTGGCCTTTCACTACACTCTTCTAGGGGGGTCTGGGGGGGACTCTGCTACTAGTGACTCACAGCCTGTGGGGCATGGGGTAATTATGACCCTGAGAAGCACCCACACTCTTTCTGGTCGGGCCACAGCCTACAGATTCTGTGGGTACCCCCGCAAGGCCAGGGTCTGGTAGAGAGGAGCAAGGGTAGTGGGAGGAGGGGAACCTGCTCACTCCTCTGCTTCAACCTCTCAGGGCTGGCTGCAGGCCTGGCTGCCTTCCTCATCCTCGCCGCCGTCACTCCCTCCCGCCTTCCTTCTCCCATCCCCTGCTCCTGGTCTTCTACTGACCCACATTGGGGCACATGCCCTCATTTATCCGCATCCATCGACCGTAGATGGGGGTGCCTTTTACAGATGAAGACATGGAGGCTGTGAGAGGGGACGTAACTGCACAGGGTCACCTGCAGTGGGGCAGCGAGTGGAGCAGAGGTTCAGACCGCCACTGTCTGCCCAGCTCCTGATGACACCCTGTCCTCTGAAGGCCTGGCCTCTTCCTGCCTTTTCATCCTTTCTCTAGCTCTCCGACCTCCACACCGACTGGCCCTGTGACTTTGAACAAGCCCCATCCCCGCTCTGTGCCTCAGTTTCCTTATTTGCAAAATGGAGAAGTGGGACCAGGACCAGACTGGGGATGTCCTCACTGCTTCTGTAGCTGTGGAGAGACTCAGTGTCCAACAGATCCCAGAGCCAAGGCCCCTCCTTAGCCCTAACAGCTGCTGGGTTCAGTGTCCTCTGCATTAGTGCCTGGTCCTGAGAAGGAGAGAGAGCCAGGCAGGTGGAGGCAGCCTGGGGCCAGGCTCACCTCGGTTGTCTCCAGCCCTGTTGTCTTGATGAGGCCCTGGGCTTCCACCTCCCAGGATCCTTGGGTCGCGGCCACCCTCATGCTTAGTGCATCCGTGGCCTCTGATTACCTGCCATTGTTAGAATGTTTTTAGCAGGATAATAAAGCACTGGGAAAAAGCCCACTGCACTGTCCTAAACGAGGACCTGTCTCTGCATAATAATAGCAGCAGCAGTGATGGCCGGGATATTGAGGCTGATGGACGTGGAGGGAGACGGTGATGATGACAATTTCTGACAACTGTGCAGGGCAAATGTTCACGAAGGCATGCTGAGCCTCTCCTCATTTCCATCCTCCTGCCACCATTGATGGAAGCAGTGGGTGTGCTGTTCCCATTTTGCAGATGAGGAAACAGACAAACTGAGTTGCCTTCAACAAAGATTTCCCAGCTCTGGCTCGGTCCCAGAGCCCAGCTCTGTGTAGCGATGCAGCTCATTAAGATGTATCTTTCTGTGGATCCTGAGGATGTTTGGAAGCCAGCAGGGAGGGAGACAAGGCCACACACAGCCATAGAGTCACGGAGGACAGGGTGAGATCAAGGCAGAAGGGCTCATGCTGGGAGCACTGAGATTGGGGTGCGTCCACTGGCTTTGGAGCAGGTGACTGGGCAAGGCGACTGCTCAGAGTTACTGAGCCGTGAGTCTCAGGGCTGGTTGGGGAGCCAGGGCCCCTGGCTGGGTTTCGTGCGCTTGCCAATCAAGGCTGGAGGCCCCATTTCGCCTCGGGCCCCAAGCAGGGGAATTACCAACAGAGCAAAACTCCTGGGCTGAGTCATCAGAGGCGAGAGGAGCCTGGCCTCGGCAGGATGTGGGTACAGGTCATGCCCTGGAAGAGCCCCAGGTAGGGCCTCTGTCCTTTGCGTGTCACTGGGCAGGTTCTGGGGAGAGTGTGTCACCATCACCTGACCCTGGAGTCCAGCTTATCATGAATTCAGGCACAGTCAGGCTCAGTGAGAGCAGAGAATGGACTGGGAGGACAGTGCTCCTAGTCGCTCGGTGAGTCAACGGATGGCTGCTCTGTCTGAGTTAGTAAGAAGCCCAGGTCAGCCCCAGGGAGGCAGCGATTGGGCTGGGCCTGGCTGAATGCAGGGGCAAGTAAGCACCTTAATAGAGGAGGAAGCTAACAAAATCGAGATTCCACCCCACGCCCGCCACTGTGCCATGAGTCCACCCCACGCCCGCCACTGTGCCATGAGAGTCCACCCCATGCCTGCCACTGTGCCAGGCCCTCTGTTCTCTCACCAGAGCCTCACGGCAACCCACATCAAGCCCAGATGTCAAGAGTAGTAGCACACAGGCACTTGATACATTTAAGTAAATAAAACAAAACAAACAAAAGTCTTTGAAGGATTAAAACCCCATATGGCAATCTTGGTATTGTGTGTTTGTGGACCAAGATCTCATACTCCTGGAGAGCCAGTCCCCTGCCCTCTTAGGTAGAGAGAAGAGCTCATAGCATGTAACTAACCCCCACCCTGGTTCCTGCACGGTCTCTGGAATCGGCCTCCCATCCATGAGGTTTCTATTTCTCCCTCACCCACCAGCCAGTCCATCCTTTCTGGGCTGACCAGAGAAGAATCACATGTGGAGGAGAACATGAATTCCAAGCTGCTGTGACTCTGCCTTCCTATCCATAGCTGCGATTCATTGAGCACTTGTTATAACAGGCACATTGCGCCAAGCATCTCATTTAATTCCCCAGTCACTTGGTGAAGGAGATGTAATTGGCTTCCTTTGCAAATGAGGGAACTGAGGCTCAAAGAGGCCTGCTTCCTCTAGTCTGCTTGACGAACTCCTATTCATCCTGCAAAGCCTACTTCCTTGACTAAGTGAATTGACCTTTTGTAGTGTCCCTTTGTAACTCAGCAAGCTGTGCTCTCCCTGCTGTGTCATCAGGTAGTTCTGGGCCTTCACCCTCATTAGACTGTGATCTTAGGAAGAGCAGGGCCCAGCCCTGATTCACAACTTGGCATATCATAAGTGCACAGTAAGTGTGGGTGGCTTGATTTGAATTGTTTGAAGCTGTGCACACATCAGCCTCAGCCAGTTTCTGCTTCATGTTTTCCTCATTTGTCTTCTCAGAAATGTATCTTAAATAAAATGCAGAAGTTTAAAGATTATGAAGACCCAGCTTCCTGGACTCATTCTGACTGGTCCATTCATGGAAACCTTGGGCTCTGCACCTCATGGGTTCGAGGACCGCACTTCTCCGTGGAACAGGAAGCTAGGTCTGTCTCTTTGGGCTCCCTCAGGGGACCAAAGCTTGGCAAATGATCCTCATTTGATTCTCATCACATTCTGTCCCTTACATTGAGGTGGGACAGAAGCAAATTGGGAAATGGTTTTCAACAGAATTCTGTTTTCTCCGGGGTACTGATCTGACTTTCATTTCTAAGATCCCAAAGACTCAGTGGACTCCATTTTGGTCACAATATAATAATGACCAATTACATTGCCAGAGCATTTTATTGGTTTCAAAGGTATTTATTTGTTTAAAACCGTTTATTAGGTAGCTACAATGATCCAGGCTCTAAGCTGGGCTCTGGAGATTAAAAAATAAACAAATAAATAAACAATATCAGCTCAGCTCTCTGTCCCCAAGGAGGTCACAGTCTAGTTGGGAACACTCTCAGGAGGGCGTCCCAGGAAGACCCGAGAAGCTTGTCTGTGAAGCAGAGGCCGTCATGAGGTTGGTGCTGGAGCACTCCGACAGGGCCAGGGAGGTCCATACCAGCTGCAAGATGTGGGAAGCTCCAACACCCGCCTCATCGTATTTGCTTTTCGCAGGAATACTGCAAGGGGAGCACAGCACATTTTCGCTGTTGCTATTGTAGAGATGAGGCCATTGGGGCTCAGATAGGGCTAGCAACTCACCTAAGGTTGCACAGCCAGTGATAGAGGAAGAATTTGAATCTCTAGACCTACTTCTCTTTCCACTCTGCTGCCTTTTCATCCATTCCTTTACGCACCCATTCACTCGTTCACAGATAGCCATGTGGTGCCTGCGACAGGTCAGACACAGCACTTCACTGGAAGCATAGGTTAATGGCAGAAGCAGACAAATAAATAAGAATTGTAAGTCAAGGTCGAGGCCACAAGGAAACAACCATGAGAGCAAGTAAGAGGTGAAAAACCAGTTGGCCTGGGACAGTGGTCAGGGCAGGACTGGCTGAGGTGATGCTTAATCTCAGACCCAAAGATGAGAAGAAGCTGCCATGTGGATTGCCTGGGGACAAGGGTGACATCCTGTTGCTAAACTTGCTGTGGATTTATTTGGACAGATAAAAGTGAACAAGGACTGTCTCGGGTCCTGCACTCACTGTAATGCGTGTCTGGGTGTGACAGCACACGTGCGTGTGTGCTGGGTGAATTTGGGGACCCTGGGCCTCTGTGAGTAGGAGACGGACGTAATGAGGTCAAAACCTCACCTCAAGATGGGGTAGGGGAAGGAAACAGAGGCCTTCACAGCATCAGCAGAGCCTGGCGAAGTGTCTGAACTTCAGAGCGGGACAGATTTTGGTTCCATGCCCGGCCCTGCTGTGGGCGTGTTTTGTCGTCTGTAAAATGAACACAAAAGCATCCACTTTGGGTGGCTTTTGTAAACATTAACTGAATGAATGTGTGGCAGGCACATGGGAGGTGCTCAATGTGCATTTGGGGGGAGGAGAATTGCATTAAACATTCTATCTAAGGGCTTTTTCTTCCCAGCAGGACCCAAGCCCAGCCTCCTTCCAGAAGCGAAGGTGCAGAACCGAACCTAGGAGGTTTCAGGTCACTCGTAGAGTAAGAAAATGCAGGTTGACCCTCCTCTGCTATATTGCTTGTGGGGCTGGACCTCAGATGAGGGCTGCTTGACCTGGGAGAAATGGTCTCAGTTCTCCAGGAGAGCTTTTTCCGCAGGAAGTTAAATAAATGTTCATGGCCCAGTGTGGGCCTCCATTTCCTTACCCACCGGATGAAGGCAGAGTCAGGGTCTGGAGGCCGAGGGCGCACTTTGTTCTAATGTTTCCAAGCATCCCTGGGACTCCTGAGGGGGATCCTATGCTGGGGAGAAGGCTGCAGACACCTGGGGGGACGTGCTGGCTTCATGCAGCAGGCCGTCTTCAGAGGGAGGATGCCCTGTCTTTATCTGACCCCCTCCTGAGAAAGAGGAACTTGTGGTCTGTCTTTGGCTGAACCAGCCAGAACAGGAACCAGGGCCACTTTGAGCACGAGCCAAGATGAACCCAGTCCTTGGCTTCAGGTTTCTGTTTTTCAGATTGGGTTTCAGAATGGAACGCCCTCGGGGGAGCTTAGTAACCTGGAGTCTTCGTACTCATTCCAGCTGCCCGCCTTCCCTTTTAAAAGGGGCTCCTCAGCTCTGGGCCTCCGCCCAGCCAGCCTGACAGAGATGGTCCAGCCTTGGTAAGGGCAAAGTCCCTTAGGGGACAGGGCTGAGATGCATCATCACCCACCTTCATCCCCTGTCAACTGTGACTGCGCATCGGAAAAAGTCTGTTTATTGTTGTTGTTATTTGAGAAGGAAGCTGAGGTTTTGAGAGGTTAAGTGACTTGCCTGAGGTCACGCAGGGAGCTAGCTGGCTGCTGTACACAATGAGATTTGTGGCCCATCAACACAATTGTCACAGCAATTCCCATGCCCTGCCATTCATGCCCAAACACACTTGACCTTGGCTGGGGGTGGTGGGGAGCAAAAGCAATTTTATGGCTTATATAGGTCTTTTCCAAATGCAGTTTAAGATCAGTTACCACTCTGCTTCATCATCTCTCTAGCTCCCACCTCCTACAAAGAAGATGTCTTCTAGATCTGCACCGTCTAATAAGGTAGTCACCGGCCATATGTGGCTGGGGAGGGCTTGAAATGTGGTGGGTCTGAATCAAGATGCGCTGTGAGTGTAAAATACACACTGGATTTCAAAGACTTGTTGGACAAAAAGAAATGGTAACAATCTCATTCATAATTTTATATTGATGGAAATACAAATATATTGGTGGAAATGGTGATATTTCAGATGTGAAATACCAATGAAAATTAATTTCACCTGTTTCTCTTTACTTTTTAACTGTGACTATTGGAACCTTTAAAATTGCATCCGTGCATTGCAGTTGTGGCTGGTGTCATATTTGGATGGCACTGCTTTAGAAAGTCCTGTGACTGAGAGGATGAGGTGGTGCTGAGAAGGGGGAGCCGGAAGAAGGAGACAGGATGGCCCTGTGGGCAGACATCCCTTGCTCACCAGACATGTTTTTCGAGGGAGGCTGCGCTGCAAGATAGGGAGCCAGGCAGCTCCGATCTCTGCAGCATTATCTACTGGCTGTGTGATCTTGGGCCTGTTTTTCAGCCCTGAGCTTCAGTTTCCTCTTCTAAACGGGTCTATAACCCAGAGCCCGCTGAGAGGGTTCCTAAGCGGATGAAAGGAGGCAGAGTGTGTATAGCACCCACTGCAGTACCTGGCACAGCCAGAGCTCAGTAAGTTCAGATAACAAATGTAAATCAGAAAGGTGCAAAAGGCAACCTAGAGACCAGGATACCTTTGTTTTGGATTAACAGCATTTGGGATCTGCAGTCTGTGGATGTCCTGGATGGCCCCACTCCCCTCATCAGCCTCGCCTTGCTCACCTGGTCCATGGGTAGAAATGGGCAGGTTGGCGGTTGGCACATGCAGACACGGTGGCCTCAGCAGTGGTTGGACCCCTTGTCTTGTCCGCTAGGCTCTGCTCGATGGCCATCTGCACCAGTTCCTCCTCGCTCAGGCTGCTGTACAGGCTGTACTCCTCCTGCCCAATGGTACACTGGCTGCCCCGAGTGCTGATCTGCGTGGCCATCCTCCTCCACCTCTCACCCTGGCCTCCAGAACAGACACCCAGTGGGGAGGAGGGAACAGCAAATCAGAAAACCCTGTGAGGAAACCAAAACCATCCTGGTCATGAACAGTTTTGCAGGATAGCTATGTTTACCCACAGGGAAGGGTGTGCATTTCACTGACAATAACACATTCATTTTAAAATTCATTCATTTGGGTCCGGGCGGGATGGCTCAAGCCTGTAATCCCAGCACTTTGGGAGGCTGAGACAGGCGGATCATGAGGTCAGGAGA